ACATCCGACTATGCAAGTATAAAGAAATATATAACTATACTTCAATTTAAATTGATTTTTAAAATATTAAGAAGGGAAGAATGCAAAGGAAGCTTGTGAATCCTTACTTTTTTATTGTGAAATACCATACAGAGGGGTTACAATTACATGGGCAAGATAGTGAGTAAAATTCTTATCAAGCATTGTAGCCTCCTCCTTTGTTTCCCCATACCATCCCTTCCACTCGCCATCCCCCACCCCCTGGACCCCTTGCCCCACCAAAGATGTAAAGTTCATTTTTTGACAAAACTTCTTGTACATCTCATTGTTGTAATGGGTCCAACTGTAACACAATTTAAACAATTTGTTTTTTCCCTTCCCCTCCACAAATTATATCAACATCAAATACAGTGAAAGCAGGGAGGTGTAAGCATGGGGGAGGTGCATACAAAGCAACAAAGAAATCATCTTATAAATATGTTGGAAACAATCACAAGAAAGAAAAAAAATTTGAATCCTTATCTTGGGGTTCATTTCACCTAATATCAACTTGTCTGACAGTCTTTGTTTGTCTTAGATATATACTAGTTATTGCAAATAAGGGAAACCATGGAACCTATATTCTTTGGGCCTGGCTTACTTCAAATTAACTTTGATGGTTCTAAAAGAAAGACTAAGGAATGGATTATTCAGATTATAATATGATGTGAGAGCCAGGTGCTGGTGGTAAATCTAGCTACTTAAACATTATCTCAGGATAGTGTTTAAAAGCTATCCTCGGAAGGAATTCAGTGAATGTCTTTCTCCAATTAATCACAAAAAATAATGAAGCAGAGCTGTAGCTCAAGTAGTAGAGGGATAGACTTGAACATAAAATTTAGAGACATAGGCCAGGCCCAGAGTTCATGACCAGGACCAGCAAAAAGAAAAGATAAGAAAAGTGAACAAAAGAGAAGATAAATGAGAAGGCAAGAACTATGAGACATGCACAGGTGAGATATCATGGTGAAAGCCCTTCATGTATTTAATATATACTAAATAAATGAATGAAAGGAAGACAAAATAGGTTCTATGGGTTTCTGGGAAGAAAGGACAGAGAAGGGAGGAAAGGAAATGAAGGTGAATATGATTTAAGTGCTTTAATGTCATATGTAAAATAGAACCGTGAATCCTGTTGAAAGGTTTTAAGATGGGAAAAGTGGGAATAATGAATAGGGATCAACTCCATGAAGTTGATGATTTACATTGTATGCATGAGTGAAAAAGTCACAATGAAACCCTTTTTGTGCAACTTATATATGCTGAAAAACAAGCAAATTCATTCTTATTTTCTAGCAGTACAAAAGCAAAGGTCAAAAACTGTATATGTTGCTATTTTCTACAGAAAAATGTCACTTTGTCTTTATGCTGTCAAAAATATCTCAGTTCAAAGTCACGGAAATTCTCTTACCCAGACATGTAAATTCAATTTTTAATCTTAGTCACAGTACATACAATAATCATGTACTTGTTAAGAAATGATTGTAGAAAGTGAATGATTTCAAAACACACAGAGAAATTGATGAATTAATACCATATTGGGCATGATGGCTGATAGCTGTAGTTCAGACTCCTAAGGAAGCAGACAATGGTAGGAATGTGTTTCTAGGTCAGTCAGGGAAAATTGGAAGGCCACATCTCATTCATTAGGCCACCAGAGAACAGTTTCTTTAGTCTGGCCTCCAATTTTGTGGTTTTATCACTATCGGTGACCAAAACTAACCATGGTGCTGAATGTTTCTCAGATTAGATTTGTACTTGTTTTCTCACAGGTTTATATTCAGTGGTGCATATATGTGAGCAAAGTCCAGAAGTGCTGCTGTGTTGTTTTTGTGGTGTCTGTTAGGAGGTTCATGTTTTGAATTACCATTACTAGCAATCTTCCTTCCAGTTCTAGACTAAGGGGATAGCTGGTAGATTGCTCTGCTCAGTTATTCTTTCCCCTTGGTAATTTGTGAGAATGCATGGAGACCTTGTTGATAGCTTACAAATAGGTTTTCCTTTTGAAATATCGCTATGAATTCAAGGATTTACAATTTCTTTAATGGATGTGATATCCAAATTCATCAGTGAATAGCACTTGATAGCTCATTTCTTTTCTCTTATTAGTTTAGCTCAAGCTAACTTTGTATCCCACACAGTAGTGACTCCTTGGGTCCTGACACCTGCACAGGCCAATCCCAAACATCTGGATGTCCTCTTGTATCACTCCATCTCAGCACCTTCAATGGAGTCAACAATGCTATTTCTCCCTTGCATGGACAATCAGCTCTCCTCACTCTTGCTTCCAAGCCCCTTGTAGCTTCCTCCCCATATGGATGACATTTCTGGGTGCTAATGGTTCCAAAAATCTGTTCAAAGATGCCAACATCATCTTCCTTTCTGATGTTCTACTCACTCTGCTTGGACCCAATATCTTTAGCAAAGGTGATGAGCACAGTATTGTCTCAGTAACTAGGACACCATGGAGTGTAGAAGACAGATGCAGGTTTGCACAACACAATAGATTCTAGGATAACCTGAGTTTATCCTCCTTTTCAGGAAGAATCTGCTTCTGAACACAGTAACTATGGTGAAGATGTTTAAAACCCAGAAGGCACTTAAGCACAAGCTTTTGAAATTATACACAAGGTTAGGTTGGTAGAAAAGATTATTCATGTATGAAGGGAGTCAATCTCTGAAAAGACTTGCTTTTATGAACTGATCAGCACAAAAAATCTTCAGAGAAGAAGGAGGAACAAGGTAGAATTGTACATTACACAATGTCCAGGCATTTTCTTATCAATGAGGTCTACTTTCTTATTTCACCATTATGGATTGCTTTATAGGACAGCAGTGCTGATATGTTGCCATATAAAGGTTATCAGTGAACAAAAGCAGTTCCAAAATGTTCTGTTCTGGATAATAAAGACATATGTCAAAAATGTCTGTAAAGGAAGTGGCGCTGTAGCTCAAGTGGTAGAGCGCTCGCCTTGAGCTGAAGAGCTGAGGGACAGCACTCAGGCCCAGAGTTCAAGCCCCACTACCGACCAAAAAAAAAAAAAAGTCTGTAAATTTCTGGAACTAACACTCCAGTGGACAGGTCTTGTCTCAGTTAAAAGAAATCAAAAGAAAAACAGCTTTGAAACAAAGGGACCATTGGTATGATGAAGAACATTTTATATATATAAAAAAAATTTTTCCTTTTCTAAAACTTTTATTAATCTTTAATTTTTGCCTCTTTTGAAAAAATAATTGTTTTCCAGTAACTTTTTTTTTCCTCTTATAATTTTTATTTTAGGAATATGGAACTGGTTATTTTTTTTTTACAGCTATAGCTCACTATGTCATTATGTTTTCAAAAAGATCTCAGTTTGAAGTCACTGATGTTCTCTTAACCAGACATGTAAATTCAAACTTTAATCTTAGTCACTGTACATACCATGCTTATGAACTTGTGAAGAGATGGCTGTAGATGAATGATCTCAAGACACAAAAATTCCAAATAAAAGAATACTTTAATAGTCATGATGGCCATAGTGGTTCACAGCTATAATTCAACCTCTAGGAATGCAGAGAACAGTAGGAATGTGGTTCCAGTTGAGTCAGAACAAAGTAGTCAGACCACATCCCCAATAATCAACCCACCAAGGAACAGGTTTTTAGTTTGGTCTTAAATTTTGTGGTCTTATCACTCATGGTGATCACATACCAGATTAGATTAGATTTGTGCCTTTTCCCCCTCAGTGTCCTGTCAGTAATGGATATTTGTGAGCAAAGTCCTGAAGTGCTGCTAAGTTCTGTAAGGACATCATTACTGATTATCTTTATTTCAATTCTAGATTAAGGTGTTGGCTGTTGGATTTCTCTGCTATATAGTTGTTCTTTTTCCTTTGAAATTGTGAAGATTTATGGAGAAATATATGGTGGTTTATGGATATCACATCCCTAATGAAATCATCACTACTAATCCAAGGACTTACAATTTATTTCATGGAATACTTTGGTATTTATTCAATATTCAAAACCTCACAAAATTGGCCAATGGGCATTACTTATTAGCTGATTTCTCTCCACTCTTCCTTTACATCATCCACTATGAATTTGTAGTTTGTGACAACAAATGATCCAAACTCATCTTCTTCTCTTCCTGCTTTTCATAAAGAAATAAACTGTTCTTCAAGGGTCACTGGCTTTATTTATGAGAGAAGAAATGAGGTCAATTAATGAAGGTGCTATCCATTATTAAAGCTAAAGCATCATTACTTCTAGATTAGAAAAAATTATCCACCTGTGCATCTATTCATCTATATGTATATATATTTATATGTACACATTCATATATACATATGTATACATGCATACACATGTATGTTTATGGTAATTACTTCACTCACATCACAAAATTAGATTATTATTAAATGAATTATTGGAAAAATTTTCTGATTTTCTTCTTTCCACAAAATATTCAGTATAAAATCTTTGAAATATGTCACTAACAATAGATAAAATTTTCATTTAATTAGCTTACAGTTTTTAACTCAAGAGTATGAATATTGGCTCTAATTTTCCCTCATTAATTTAGTCATATGATCAACAACTCTTCTGGGTAATATGAAACTCTTAGTGTTACTGTCACTTACATTATTATATAATACACCCCCTGTCTCCACCTCCAGATTTGTTCAGACATTCCTCAGGATGTGATAACATGGATAAATGAGCCAACTTTGTATCCCATGCAACAGTGACTTCCTGAGCCCTGACAACTGCACAGGCAAATCCAACACATATGGATGTCCTCTTGGGTCACTCCATCTCAGCATCTACAATGGAGTCAACAATGCTATTTCTCCCTTGCAGAGAAAATCAGCTCTCCCATGTTGCCTCCTCCCAATATGGATGACATTTCCATGTTCTATTGATTTCAAGACTCCGTTTAGAGATTACAACATACTCACCCTGCTTTGGCCCAATATCTTTACCAAGGTGTGCAGCACAGTGTTCTCTCAGGAACTAGAAGAGTCCACCGAACAGAGGAGACATATGTAGGTTTAGGCCACAAAATAGGCTTCAAGATAACCTGAGTTTATCCTAGCTTTCAAGATAATCTATCTCTGCTTCTGAACATAGTAGTTGTGGTGAAGATGATTAAAAGCCAGAAGGAATAATATGAGAACCTTCAGCATGGATATATAAAATGATACACAATTCTAGGTCAGTAAAAATTATAAAGGCTGTTCAGATATAAAGGGAGAAAGGCTGTGAAAGGACATGCTTGTATGGATCACCTGGGACAAAAACTCAGAGATGGAGGAGATAATAAGGCTGAACAGCACAGTACAGGAGTCCAGGCATTTTCTTATCAACACAACAGCTACACTTATTCCACCTCCATGGATTGAATTCATTACAGGACAGCAGTGCTGATAAGTTGACACATATAGATTATCAGTGAATCAGAGCTACTGTAAAACTTTCTGTCCAGCATAATAATAAAGAAATGCCAAATTTGTGTTGTGCAAAATTTGTTTGTGAAATCCTGGATCTAATAGTCCAGTGAACAAGTCTTGACTCAGTTAAAGAAATAAGAAGAAAAGAAGCTTTGATCCTCTAAGCTACCATTGTTGTGAGCACATCACAGGAAAGCAACTTGGGGATTCTCTTCTGTGTTTAAAACTTATTCTGTTGCCCAACCTAGTTCCCTTGAGACTCAGAATGTGCAGAGTTGCTGAGATGAGGCAGCTGGACAGCTGTGTATAACTCTGCTGCTGATTTGCATGCACCAACAGTACAGCCCAGTGTGCTCAGGAATTCTTCATAGGCTGCTCACATTAGGCAGTAGTCAGTCCAAGTCAGCACACAGCATGGACATGAGGACCCCTGCTCAGCTCCTGGGGATCCTGCTGCTCTGGCTCCCAGGTAAAGAAGGACAATGCTAGGGATTAACACAACTCAGTGTGATGCAGGATGCTTACTCTTCAGGGATGCCTTCTTATAACTTGATAATTAATGTGGATATTTATTTTCATGTGTCTGCTTCCAGGTGTCAAGTGTGACATCCAGATGACCCAGTCTCCATCTTCACTATCTGTGTCTCTAGGAGACACTGCCACCATCACTTGCAGGGCCAGTGAGGACATTGGGTATGTTTTAGCCTGGTACCAGCAGCAACCAGGAAAAGCTCCTAAACCCTTGATCTTTGATGCAGATAGTCAGGCGACCGGAGTTCCATCAAGGTTCAGTGGGAGTGGGAGTCAATCTGGGACAGAGTTCACTCTCAGGATCAGTGGCCTGGAGCCCGAAGATGTTGCCACTTATTACTGTCAACAGGGTAGCAGTTTGCCTCCCACAGTGATACAAAGCATAACAAAAACCTCCCAGGGAAGCTGAAGTGTGAGTCTGGGCTGCCCCAGCTGCTCCTCCTGCTGCCTCCACCTGCTCAGAACGTTGTCAGAAAAAGCCAGTTAATACTTCGAGAGTCTGAATTGTGGCATCAGTTGATATTTATGCAATAATAAAATAAATAACGGTAATTTAAGCAGGAATTGCTTCTAATACAAAGAATGGATTCATTGCTTCAGGTTTTATTCCTTTATTTTCTGATAGCCTATTTTTTATTAATGTACATATCTGTAACAATTAATGGGATTCTGGGTTTCTCAGCATATGTGTATTATGTGCATTGATCATAGTCTTCCATCTTTCTTCTGTGTTCAACCTCCTGTGCTCTGATCCTGTGCCCTTGTTAGCCCCATAGTATCACTATTGCATTTTACTTTTTTGAAGTCTGCTTGAGTGAGAAGCAGTATAGATGATGCTCTTTGTTTTTACTACTTTGTTTAACAAGGTGTTTTCTACTTCTATCCATCATGCTGCAGACTATAGGATTTCTTGATGCTTTATGCATATTGTGTATACATATATGTGTGTGTGTGTGTGTGTGTGTGTGTGTGTGTGTGTGTGTGTATTTCATGGGGCTTGAATTCTGGACACTGGATACTGGAAACTGTCCCTGAAATCTTCATGTCAAGGCTACCACTCACCACTTGAGCCACAGGGCCACTTCTGGTTTTCTGGTGGTTAATTGGAGATAAGACTCTCATGGACTTTTCTGCTTCAGCTGGCTTTGAATTGCGACCCTCAGATTTAAGCCTCCTGAGTAGCTAGGATTACAAGACTGAGTCACTGGTGCCCAGCTGTTTCATTTTAAAAGGCAATGTTTTGTATTGATTTTTCCACTCAAGTGTCTTGTGTTTTAGTTAATCCAGACACCCATGTAATTCAACAATATTGAGATTTTTTAGGGCACAAATTTAATTGTCTGGGAGCTCTGTTTTTGAAGTTAGGCTCCTTCAATTCTTCTGCTCGATTTAGCAATAGTTAGTCCTCATCTTGTACTGATCGTCAGCAGATCACTTCGACCCTTCATCTCACATTTCTCCACACAAATCACAAAACAACTCTTGTGTGGACTGTCTGTTCACATATTCAGAATCCATCCACCTTCCTAAAAGCAGCAGGGTTGGACCCCTGTGGATCTGGGGAATGGATAACCTGTCATGGAATGATGGTCAAGAGGATAGATCTGAGGAAGAGAGTCACAGAGCCTATAAAATTTAAGCATTGAATTTTAGTTTAAAACTTTTGTGGTCATGAGGGTAATATAAATTGAAAAAGATGATTCCGTTTTAATTACATCTTTATTATCTTTAACTAGTAAGATAAGAAATTACCATTCAACAAGTCAGATTTGAGTAAAATAATATCATTCTCTCCTGTCCCTCCAAGGAAAGTTGATTCTTTTTTTAAAATTCAATTTTATTGTCAAGATTAGGTACAATGAGGATACAGTTACATATGTAAGGTAGTGAGTACATTTCCTGTTGAATATTGTTACACTCTCCCCCAATTTCCTCCCACTTTCCCTCCCTCATCACACCCCACCAAGTTGAAAGGTTCATTTCCAACATATTGTTTTGTGAGTATCACTGTTGCATTATTTCTTTTATTTATTAATTTTTATTGTGAGAATATTGTACAGAGGAGTTACAATTACATGGGCAAGATAACAAGTACATTTCTTATCAAGCATTGTTGCCTCCTCTTTGTTTCCCCTTCCCATCCCTTAGCATCCTCCCTGCTCTCCCCCCCACCCGATTCTCACCCATCCCCCACCAAAGTTGTAAAGTTCGTTTTTCCACAAAACGACTTGTACATCTCATTTTTTTTTTCTATTTTCACTTAAGGTTTATCCCTTGTTGGCTCTATTTTATTTTGGTACCCTGTGTACTATATATACATTTATCTGAATTAAGGAAGGAAAAGAGAACAACAAAATGATGAGACAAAGGACAAAATTGATGCTTGAATTTTCCTTTCTGTCAGAATGTCTGAAGGAGAGCTATGCCAGAGATCTAATTTCTGGTTATCAAAGGAAGATATCAAAGTGGCAATGTATACTTACTGGGTTGTCAAAATGGGACTGTGTGGCATGAAGCTCTGATTATTGTTGTTACACTCTGAGGGCCTAATTGAAATAGAAGATGGGAACTTGAACCAAGACACTGCCCTTTACATAGGGTCCTTTTTGATCTATCAGTTCTCTGCTTTCTGGTGTTCTTAGATTCCTGGCAGCACTTTTCATCTCTGCCCTCACTCTCTTCCTCTCTGTGTCTCTGAACTCAGGATAATAACCCAGGTGATGTGATGCTGATTTTTGTCCTACATAGGGATGGTAAAGGGAAACAAAGGAGGAGGCAATAAGAAATATACTCATTACCTTGTTCATGTAATTGCAACCCCTCTATATTTTTACAATTGTATTTTTACAATTTTTACAATTGTATTTTTACAATTAAAAAAAAGAAAAAAGAGAAGAAAAAAAAGAGAGAACTGAAAACAGCACATGTCTTGGAGCTCATTTTGATAAGCATCATTTATATGGTCATATGCACATGGCTATTGAACCTTTGTGTTCTGTTCCTAAGAACATACTCCTTTGTTTTCATTGTGTGAATGTTTAGACTATTGTTAAATTATGTCTATATGTAATGATTTGTCTTTTAGTATCCATTGTGTTTACTTGTAGATTTATAGGCACATCCTATGTTACTAGGTGTCAGGCTTGCCTTAATTAGTACAACTTTTTCCAAGGCTATTGTTGCTAATTATAATTTTTATCCAATGTATCTTATCATTGGAGGCAAATAGGAACAATTTTCCGGGTCTTCAAATCTGAAGTGAAACAAGAATACGGGGGATACTAATACTTTCACCTGTACAGTCAGATGGTACAAAGGAACAGAAGGGAATTTTTCCTCAGCCAATCAGAATTTCTTTCTTTAGCCAAACTCATGCTTTCTCTCATTCACATTGATCAACATTCAGTGGAAAAGTAGCAAAGAAGTGGTCTCTCTCAGTTAGCTCTGTCCTCTATGCTTTCTTCACACTCCTGGATTCTGTGTTTATTCATCATTTGATGGGTTAATGATGGGGTGGTGTTACTGGGAGGTGGTAAAAGCACCTAGTTGGAGGAAATACATTTGTGGGACTGTCCTTGGGCCTAAATCTTGCCCTTACCTCTTCCTATATAATTTTGAATTCATGTTTCCCATGAGTTGAGTAGCCTCTATTATATGGTCCAACATCATGATATTCTGCCTCTCCATAGGCCAAGGAAGCTAAGGATGGTGAACTGAAATCTCTGACACAATGAGCCCAAATGAATACTGTCTTTCTTCCCCTAGGTTGTTCCTGTCAGGTACTTGGGATCAGACATACAAATACTAGGAACTCACCTATATATTCTGACTAGCAATCTCTACTTTAATCAGGTAACAAGGATCCATACAAAGCTTCAGAAACTAGGCTTTAGCACATGCTTATTTTGGCTAAGAAGATCTTAACTTGGAAAAAATTATTTAGATATGCACAACTCCTTATCAATACCATGATCTCAGGCCTCAAAATAATAATAGTTTTAGAAACTTGAGTATATATCAAGATTAAACAATTACTAAGCATTTTGCATAAAAGTCACAGAAGGAAATAAGTAGATTGAAGTTGAAGCTAGACTGGCAAATCATTATCACAAAGCAATCTGAAAGGAATCTAGGCATTGTGCTATACCCCCTTATACTTATGGCTACAAGGGAGGTACAGATAGATAGAACGTGGTCTTACCTCTATCTAATAGACAAAACTAAAACAGAAAGCCTAGGTGTATGGCTCACGGAGTGTGGGAGGTTGGGGAAGGGAGGGATTGTGGGACAACAAGGGAATGGGTAACAATGATCGACAAGTAATGTACTCATCACCTTACTCATATAACTATAACGCCTCTATACAGCATCTTTAAAATAAAATGAAATAAAAATAAAATAAAACAATTGCTTAGCAAGCTCAAGGCTTTGGACTACAAGACCTTTTCAAATGTGTTTCTGTGTTGGGCATTTTGTGACCTGAATTTCTCTATGTACCTTGATCTCTAGATGTTGCTTATGAACTTTAGAAGTAACTCTTTGGCCACTGAGGAAGATCAAACAAAATCCATGTCAGAGGCAAGCTGAGTGACCTGCAATACAAAAGCTCCAGTCAGAACAATGGTCATTAAGAGTGTGAATACTCCTGAGCCGGTGGCTCATGCCTGTAAATCCTAGCTACTCAGAAGGCTGACGTCTGAGGATGTCAGCAGGAAAGTCCATGAGACTCTTACCTCCAATTATCACTGAAAAACCAGAAGTGGACATGTGGCTTAAAGTGGAGAGTGCTAGTCCTGAGTTAAAGCTCCATGAGTGACCAAAAAAAATATGAATTGCTGATGAATATAAGTAATTGGGTTATATGCCAAAAATTTTTGGAGTGGTTCATTGCACACTATTTTCGTTAAAAACCAATTGCTACACTTTAGATATTTACAAAACAATCGGAAACAGTAGAAATAAAAAAATCTACAAAATATATGAATGAATAGAATACATTTTAGTTCATTTATGGAAACATCCAAGGAATAGTTAGTACTATTACCAATATTACAGAATTATATAATGTAATATATAAATGTATGGTAATATATAAATGAGCGATAAAATGTGACTTTATATGTACAGTAAAGACTTTTCAAATATCATTAATTTTACAGTTAAAAAATGAGTGGCATATATCCCTATGGGCTATAGGTTTTAAAACATGCATATAGATTTATTTATTGCTGCATACATACATATATATGTGTGTATATTTATAAATATCAAGAGAAAGATGCATCATGTGCAGATACACACACACAAACACACATACACAAACACAGATTATGAGGCATCTGATGAAACATAGCTTAGTTTGTCCAGAGCCTGTCCTAAAGACAGAAATGTAAGAATGTAGAGCACGGAGACTTCTGAGGAAACATATATATTGCTAACCTATATATTGCTAAATAATCTTATTTCTACACTTACCATTTTCATGAAA